CAGGCACCCCTGGGTGTGTCCACAGTGGAAGAGCCTGCCCTTGAGCGCCAGCCTGCGTGGAGCGTGAATATTAACTCAGTGAGCCCACGGGCCTTCCCACAGCGATCGGTTCCCTCCCGGCCCCGCGCGGAGGCGCCGCCCGGGGCTCACCGCCGGGAGGCCCCGGCTCCTGCTCCGCTCTCCCGAGGGTCCCACCCCACCCCGCGGTGCCCCCCACCTCTTCCTGTGATAGCCTCAGGCAACACCAGGCTAACATGGTGTTCGCTTGGAGGAAAGTCAGGGATGGGAATTTGGGAGGACTTGAACCTGTGCCCCAGTAGGGACTGCGGGGACCTCTCTGTGCAGAGCTGCTGAGAATATCAACGTGGAATCACGTCCCCAAAGCTAAGCAGTGTCGCTGAGTCTGCTGGAGCCACACGTGAAACCGAGAGGGTGAGCCTGTCGTCCTTGGCAGTGGTGGGGGGTCAATGAGTCTGGCTGGATCAGAGTGGCCCGCTTTTATTATTGTTATTTTTTTAATTGAATTTATTGGGGTGACATTGGTTAATAAAACCGCACAGGTTTCAAGCGTACAGCTCAATAAAACATCGTCTACACGCTGCATCGTGCGCTCACCACCCAAAGTCGAGTCTTTCCACACTATTCACCCCCCCTTACCCTCTCCCACCTCCCCCGACACCCCCTTTCTCTCCAGCAAACCCCATATTGTTTGTTCTTTTTGGCTTAATCCCCTCACCTTCCTCACCCAGGCGCCAGCCCCTCCCGTCTGACAGCCGTCAGCCTGTTCTCTGCGTCCACGAGCCTGTTTCTATTGTGTTGATTCTGTTCATTCGAGTCCACACGAGCGCGATCAGGTGCCGCTGGCCTTCCTCTGACTGGCTCGATTCATGAGCGCCCTGCTCGGGGCCCAGCGGGCTTGATTCCAGCTGCTGCCAACAGCGACGTCGCCGCCAGGGGAGAATTCACAGAACTTTAATATTCTGGTGCTTTGGAGCGTGGCCTTGGGAGGCAAAGTCCAGCAAGGGAAACTGAAATACTTCTGAGAATCTCCAAGCGG